ATATTATAGCCTCTCAAAAACTGATGTATTAATAGTATCTTAAATCAATCATTTAATCATGGTGTTGGTTTCAAAGAGCAACAAAAAAATTCTTATTTGTTATTTATGCATACATATATACATACATAGTCATTTTTTTTTTTTTTTTTTTTTTTTTTGCAAGACCAGGATTAATCTCCCATGAAGCAAGGTGGATCCTGCCTGACAAAGGAGTTGTCATAATGATTTGCGGCAAGGTTTTACAAGGCAGATGCTTTTTCCCAATGCCCAAATCAGACACTCAAGTACACTATGTATTTTTACCAAGATACTATCTTTTAAAACATTGTCATTCAAGGCTTGAGATCCATCCTAGCTTTATATTATTTATATATATATATATATATATATATATATATATATATATTGTTTATATTTATTTTTTATAGATTTGAATATTTAAGTAAATATTTCTTCTTTAACAAATTTATTTTTAATAATAACAAAATTACCCTTGCTCTGTAGCTAAATGGTATAGCACATCAAGCTATATGACGCTTCCATGTAGGATTCAGTTTTGATTCCTGCCGGGAGGATGCATATTTTCTATGAAATTTCTTGGGCATTCAGGCCAGCAAATGTTAATACTGTTTATTATGAACAGAGCATTTACTTAAATATTTGTATCTCTAAAAATAATGTATAAACAGAAAATATATTAAAATAATTGTTGGACTTAGTCCATATAGGCTGCTGGCTCCTATAAAAAGCTCATCTCCCCTTTGACATGTTTTGTTTTTCATTTTTGGGGGACATTGACATGCCTTCCTCACCAGCAGAAAAGGTGGGTAAAAGCTTTTTTAAATGCCAAGTCCACTTCTCCTTGCAAGGTTGTACTACAACACATGTTACCAGTAGCAGGCCTAAACCTGACCTGACCATAATGGAAAAGAAATTAATGGAACTTTTTTTCTTTTTGCTGTTTTTCAGCTTATTTTCTATAATAATTGATATGCTGAAATAAGAGTATTATAGCATACCTACAGATGATAATGGGTATGTCCCTATTCACATAAATACAGTATTTACTACTGTATGTTGGTCTGCCGTTGGAAATTTGTCTCCAGCTGTGCTGGTCAAAATCTCTGCCTGAAGGCAGAGAGGATCCCCAGATGAGGCTATGTTGAAGGGAAGAGTCTCATCTCCAGAAACGGCTACCTGACCCCATTTTATACAGGGTCTACAGGGAATTTTTTGGCCGAGCAACGGGCTCAGATACCCCACATTGAATTTGGCCTTGTGCCACATCTGACCACATGGGGCAGTTGGTAGATATCCTGCAGTTGGAGATTCATTGTGGAATTCACAAGACTCACTTCTAGCAGTTGACTACTGCTTCTACGCACTACTGGTGAATCTTATATGTGTTGTTCATGTCCTAAATATTATCGTTCATTACCAACCTTCGTTTGATTATTCTAATCAGTAACCTTCCCTAGGTTACAACAAAGAATTCTTTTGCTACCATTTATTAAAACTTAACCTTTAAAATGTTTGCTGAAAAAATCCTTAATCCAACATTAATATTTTATAACTTAAATTATCAATGAAGGTTTCATTGTTTTTTTAACTATTGTAACTATGGTACTCTAATTTTCTATATTAAATGTGTTAAACATATTTGTTACTTAACCCTGTATTAGTCACATGGGTTGTTTTGTTACTCATAATTCCTAGTTGACAACATGTTTCTTTGCTTTCTCCGGACTTGATTAAGGTGTATAGTACTCAGTGTGGCACAGTTGTAGCTCAGTTGTTGTGGGAGGTAGACATTGGGGGGACTATCCATTTTCGGAAATCTGAGGTGACTAACACAGGTTTAAGAATAAACTGAAGTGGCTGGGTGAATTTAAATTTATAGACATGTCATGAAAAATAATTTAATTCTTAGGATAAATAAATATGAATAAATATTAAGCTCCATTCTGAATTTCTCAATGAAACATTATACAAATCACTTTTCGTTTTCTTTTTTCAGTTGTCTTTAAACCATAATCTCCAATCCATATTTCTAAGTAGAATTTAATGATAAACTAATTTGTATGGCTGAACTTGTGAAAATAAATCATTTTTTTGCTGATTTGAATATGATCAGATTTATTCTGCCTCTTTTAAAAAAAATTGTTTTTTTTTTCGTTGTTTTTCTTGGAAACCTTTTAAAAGATTTTGCTTAGATATCAATGATTCATTCTTTATGTCTTCCTATCTTGACTTCTCATCTTTCATTTTCCATCTTTATTTTCTTGCCCTTTTCCTCTTTTTCTTATTAAATCAGTCTTATTTCATCAATCTGATGTTGTAACCAGTCAATCAATTCATGTAAAGCAAAAAAGCCAGCCATTTAGAAAACAAAGGAGAGACACTGACAAATGTAAAAACAAAATCAAGAAAGATCTTGAAGCATTACACTCAGTTCTTATTAGTAATTCATGATTTCTGTTTGCCTGGCTCAAAAACGCTAAAAATAAATCTGCAATCAAAACAATTACATCAGGAGCTTTTAAACTTAATTGTCTACATTTGGATAATTTTGCTGACCTACTAATTTATTAACAGAAAAAGGCAATTTCAAAGAGTAAGTATTTATTGCCATAAAAGTCTTGAAGAAATTGCAATAAAAATCATAGTAACCACCCTGTAGTATCACATTACTCTTACTTTGACAATAGGAGCATCACATTACTCTTTGATTTATATGATAAGTGCATCTCATTACTTATTTTAAGTTATATAATAATAGGAGTATCATATAAATTGTATTTTGATTTATATAATGATAGGAGTATGACATTACTCTTACTTTGATTTATATGATGAAAGGAGCATCACATTACTCTGATTTATATGATGATAGGAGCATCACATTACTCTTATTTATATGATGATAGGTGTATCACATTACTTTTATTTTGATTTATATGATGATAGGAGTATCACATTACTTTTATTTTGATTTATATGATGATAGGAGTATCACATTACTTTTATTTTGATTTATATGATGATAGGAGTATCACATTACTTTTATTTTGATTTATATGATGATAGGAGTATCACATTACTTTTATTTTGATTTATATGATGATAGGAGTATCACATTACTTTTAATTTGCTTTATATGATGATAGGGGTATCACATTATATGATTGTCCTTGTTTTCATTATACATAACATCCAGTTTTGTGGGTTTTTTTTTTTTTTGCTTACAAACAGCACATGTTTCTGCTTATACTGTTATGTTGGTTGTTCTATATAGTATTTCTGACATTGTTGTAAAGTGTCAATAAATCTGACATGTGTCACACAAGACTAAAAAACACTTGAAAACTTAATAGACATTAAAATAAAGAATTGAAAGCATTGAATGTTTTGGCAGTATAAAAATCTAAAAAGATCTGAAATAGAAGCCAAAAAATATTAAATATTTTTATGAAAACCTATTGAAACAAATTCTTTGTCTATCAAAAATATTTTGCATTTGACATAGACTTTCATGAAGTTTACCAAAATATCACTTCTATAATCCTTATATAATTTTAATTTTTAACTTGAAACTATTTTTATTATAATATTGAACAGTAATTGTCATATATATTTTATAGTATGTACATCCACAGAAACATGATAGATTTAATTCCAAGCTAATAGATTAAATTTAATATTTCCAATAAGCAAAATACTTTGCTTTTTTTCAAATGTAATTCTCTTTATTAAAAATCTTTCAAAAATAAAATATACTTTTCTGAAACTTTATTTGAAGAATATTAGCTGATTTAAAGTTTAATCTGTTTTGAAACAAATATTATTTTTAGTTTAAAAGATCATAGAAATACATTTTTTTAACTTGGAGGGAGTTGTTTATTTAAGGTGTTGACAGCTTGACTGACAGCTTGAAGTTTAAATTTTTCTATATTGGACTGTGAAAATTACTTGAATATAATGTGAGTGCCTTTTTATATAATTTTTAACTATCCAGTAATCTTGAAAATTTAGTAAAATATTCTCTGTAATTTAATGTTGGAGTTTAGGTACTTTGGCTTTAAACTTACCATAGTTATCACACTTATTTTTTAATGATGGTGTGTGTGGTCATCTCTATTTACAAAATTCAGCACATTTATACACACTAAAAAATTCAAGATTCTTTTAAAACTTTATCACCCTGAATTATTAATATTACTTCTCTTTCTACTGTATTCTTTTTCAGGGCCTCCCAATTACAGTATCATTATTATTATTAATTTCACTCAAAGTTGTTTTCTGTTGCTATAGCAGGATATGACAACACATCTATCAAATTCAAACACATCATTGTTTAGGGATCTTCAGTGGTAAGATAAACTCTTTTTGTAGAGCAAATAAAGTCACATACAGAGTGACAAAGGTTAAAATATTAGGGGTTGATGAATTGTAGTAAGCTTTCACATTTATGATTAGTAAATATAGTTTTTTTCTTAATAACTATATCACCTAACTGGTACAAATTAATATTTAATAACAAATTTTTCTTAAGACAATAGTTTCCATAATATATTTTATTCATAAAATAAATTGTTTGGTCTTTCCTCTTAATAATAACAAAGATTTTGATGATAAAACTTTTTTTTCATCAAGTTTGGAGCATTTTTTATCATATGATCATTTTTTTAGCGAATCTGTGGGGGTTTCCTATTCTATAATAATTAAATATTTTAACCAATTAAATATCAAAAATAGATGTAATGGCTTAATATTACATTAATTAAATAAATGAAAATAGTTTTATTAAAAATATTACCCATTTGAAATAAAAAAATTTCCTACCCACAAGAAGTTTTTTTTTGTTTTTTTTTTACTATCTTTCCTACTAAAACAAAGATTACCTTATTACTTTTCTTCAATGACTATTTTCTACAAACAGTTGAGTATGTTTGTGCATGGACAACATTAACTGTCAAAAATAACTGACATAAACAAAAAGGATGGGTAAGTAAAACACCTGTTTAACATTGTTAAACTGTATTAAACTATACTGTAGACAGAACATGAATAGATACTACTTTGCTGTTGATGCTATAGCAACACAAAAAAAATTATCTTAATTTTAAATGTTTAGTTTAAAATCAGGCATTGTCAAGCCAAATTCTTAGCATTAAAAGTGTCCAAATGAGTTTAAAAAACAAATTAGACCATTTCTGATAACATTGCTTGGTCAAGGCTAAGATTTTGAAACAGGAATCTTGTCTTTGTGTTCATGGCACAACTATTTGAGAGAAAGAGACACATCCAATATGTCATCAGATACAGTAATTATTTTCATGTTCAAAGTTTAGAGAAGTATATAAATACACATTTTGCATTCTCATTAAATGGGACATTCTTATCAGAATCAAAATTACAGTTAAAGATATTAAATTCAAGTTTTGAAGTTCCCAAAACATTCCAATAAAAATTTAAAAAAATGTAAAACTTTAAATGTTTACAATTTTCTTGTGGTTTCTTATAAAAGAAGGAATATATTTATTTTCTGAAATAGGTTTTGTCTAATGAACAAGGGGCTACTCAATTCTTGATTCAGTTTATATTATTTATGTTGTTTCAAGATTGATTGATTTACAATAAATCTGTCAAAATCCAAAATTAAATCTTGATATTTTAGATGTGTTTGTGGCAAAATTCCTATTTAAAATTCCCTGAAATTGAATTAAATAACCATATACACAGTGGCAGCGTGCTGATGCAATTGATTTTTGTTGTTTGATTATGGCTATTTGAAATTGGCCATCAATTGGATTGTATATTGATTATTTTCAAGTGTCACATTTTACTTTACCATTATAGTGTTAGGGATCTTTGCTCTCTTGATAGTGAATGGGCTAAAGTAAAATGTACAAGAAATACATTCATTGTCTTGTTCTAAAGAAGACAAAACTCTGTTTCAAAAAAGGATGAAATCTTATTAAATCTTGAACTAGAACTTATCAAAAACAAAGGAACTTTTGACATCCCTCAACATTTTAAGCAAGTTTAATAAAGAATGTCTGTTTTCCTTTCTGGTATTTTTTTTCGGCCTAGTTCAATTTTGTAATTTGATTACTGGAAAAAAGTGTTTATTTTTTATACCCACTATATGATGACATAAAATATTCTTATTTTTTAAAGTTTGTCTCTGATCAATTCATTTTCTCCATTTTTTGATTGTTAAAAGACTGTTTTAATGCTGTCAAATATTTATTCATTTGAAGACTATTCTATGAAAAATATCAATCTAAAAACCCACATGTTATTATATTTATACACACACACACACATCTCAGCATAATAATTCTAAACCTAGGAGTTTTGTCAACAAATAAATTTTGTTTTCTTCCAAACTCTAATACGGGGGTCGGTAAGGATTTTTGTCCAGCCCACCAGCTTAACACCTAGACACTAATTATGTAATTAATCTATGGGACAAGTTGCAGAAAAAATATCATTTGCACTTAATTGACTTACAATGCAACAAATTTTTTGTAAATTAAAATATCATTCCAAATCCACTGTTGACTTTTACCAGAAATATGTTTTGTCAATTGGAAAATAGAAAAGCTTATTAAATAATGTGAAAATTATGGTATCTATTGTAGCATACCTATGGACAATAATGGGTATGTCCCCATTAACATAAATACAGTAGTAAATACTGTATGTTGGTCTCCAGTTGGAGATTCATTGTGGAATTCACTTGACTCACTTCTAGCAGTTGACTACTACTTCTATGCACAGCTGACAAATTATTCACAAAAAAAAAAAATCCAAAACAATAAGTGCTAGAAAACAGAATTTCAACCTTGAAGTTTTTTGTACTCATTTCAAACAAAAGGCCTTTGACATAGAAATGAAACCAATTTTCTAAGAACTCTGTCCCATTATCAAATATCTAAACAAAATGTCTCAACACTAATATATTCCATAGAGCAAAATATGTTAACATTTGGACAAATCACTCCTCCATACAACTATGCAAAAAGCTAGATAACCACTCAAAGTTAATGTTGACAATATGTCTTATGTTAGAGCAGGGGTCAGCAACCTTTTGGAGAGAGCAGGCCAGAAAGCTATGCATTGTCTTGGAGGGGAGGGCCATGATATCAAATGTATTATAACGAATAGTCTCAATCTCAGGCTGCTTTGGTCTGGAAGTTTAAAGAAAAAAAACAACAAAGTTAATGATATATTCTTTAAATAAGGTTCCTTATTTTACTACAGGATAACAATTAATGCAATCAACAGAAAAATGCAAACTCCTTACTACAAACGAAATACAGTTAGAAATGGCAAATTATTTAATAAGACATTTGTTTCTGCTTATTGTTTGATAACTTCTTCACATCAGGTGAAATATTTGTCAATGACAGGAACAAAACATCATCCAGGTGGTCATCACTCAACCTTGTTCTTAAACGACTTTTAGTAGATTTCATTTTTGAAAAAAATGTTGTTCACAAACATATGTACTTCCAAATAATGATACTGTTGTAACCTAGGGAAGGTTACTGGAATAGAATAATCACACAAAGGTTGTAATGAACGATGATACTTAGGACAAGAACAAATGAAAACTTGGAAATTTCCCAACATATTTCAGTGAAATTTTCTCTTATTGAAATTTATAATTCATAATTATGGTTTTGATATATGGAAAAAAGAAGATATCAGTTTAAACTGACACTAGAATAATATGTGTTAAGTTTATATTTCCAGATTTTCCAGTGAATTATATACTCTGTTTTATTGGATTGTAAGGCTACTGTGTTTACCATTGTAAATATCATGTTGACTATATATGTATTAGTATTTCATCATCATCAGTCCCATGAATGAGTGTGGTGGTAGGGTTGCTGCACAGCTGAGCACCTAATCAGTTCCTTTCATATATCTGGGTTGAAAGCCAGATAGTTATTCATTCATGTCTTGGGCAAATAGACCTGACAGAGACTATCCCTCCCCAGATCCAGTCACAGTCAATTAATGTCCTCACCTTGATCATAGACATATAGCTGTTGATTCCATCAGGGTAACCTCCTGCTCTGGCTGGTGACATCAGTCTAGAAAGCACTCCAGTCAGTGATGCTGTTATCAGCACACTGGCTGCATAAGTAGCTATGATAATTTTCTAAGCATGGCTTAGATGTGGCACAAGGCCAAAAGTATGGAGCATCTAGTGGGGATCAAAATCACTGCTCAGTTGTAATTGTTCTAGTGAGGCAAGCTTGCTCAGCATTAAACCATGATGAGATGCTCCATAAGTAACTATGGAGGCCAATCCATCCTATTGTGCTTAAATGCTTGTTGATCCAACAGGAAGGTTCATCTACTGTTTGTTTTTAATTCTGTTGGATGTTTAACCACCTTCCTCACCAGAAAGCTTGGTGGAAAAACTGGTTTAGACACTGATGAACTGACTATACATTAGATAAAACTGGGTTAGATGGAACTAGTACCAGTGATCTGACATAAATTAGTATTTAATTGTTTCTAATGTTTTCCTAAACTGTTCCATCCACCTGTTAAAAAGGTTTTAATCAGCAGCTGATGATAAGATCTGTATTATCAATTGTCTTGTCTTGCACCCAAAATGAATAAAGATAGATTTTTATGTATCAGGCTATTAATTTTCTTTCTTTGCATTGCTTGAATCCCAGACAAATTTGGCACCACCAAATTGAAAGTTGATTTTATTTCCTCCTCATCTTTCTTTTCAGCCACACCATCTACTGACACAACCACTTCCAGTGTTGCTAGTAGCATCAGTGCCCCAACTTCTCAAACCACGGACACTACCTCTGCTGCTCCTACTACCACCACCACCACCACCACTAGCAGTCCTTGGCCAATTAGTTCCATATCTAATTCTATATTTTCATCAAGCAACACAACCAAGACTCTAACAGGCACTCAACCATCTTCCATCTTCAGTGGAACTGGGTTCAGCTTCAAAACTTCAGATACAAAGCCTGCCTTCAGCTTTGATGCTTCAGTTGCCCAAAATGGTAAGAACAAATTTGTATTTTGCTATTATCTTTGGAAGAACATTATCTGTCCCAAGAACTGTACTCACTTTTCGACTTGCTATAACTTCTTGATCTTTTTTCTTTTTACAGATTCATGCATTTAATATAATTTAATATTTAATTTAAACCATTAATCTTCTTTGTTAGTCAATAAATGTAAATGTTTTCTTAATTTTAACCATTAATCTTGTTTGCAAATCAATAAACACTGCATTTATTTTCATTTAAATAGTGAGTACATTTTTTGTGACACTGTGTATGTATGTATGTGTGTGTGTGTATATATATATATATTGCCTGAATTTGTAGAAAAAGACAATATGTATAAAGGAAAAAAAGACAATAGGAAAACTGTATTTGGTCTTAGCTGATGTGTTTTGTCCACTGTGGATGTTTTCAAGCCAAAAAAAAATGAACATTTTTGCTTTGAAGATGTCTGCAGTGAACAAAATGTGTCAGCTAAAGTCACATACAGTTTTCCTATTGTTTTTTTTTTCTTATATATATGAGAGAGAATTTTAAGGCATGCTATATTTATGGTTTAAATTGCTCAGTATCAGGGATAAATTGTCTGTAAATATAAAAGTGAACATAGAGGTCAACATCCAATGGTGACAGTCTGTTCCATGCTTAAGATCTGAAGATTTTGTTTAAGAATGAAACAGACTGTTTCCACTGGGTGTTGACCTCAATGTCCACCTATATATATATATATATATATATATATATATATATATATATATATATATAATCAAGGTTTGCATTAGATTTGTCTGAAATTATGTGGCTGTGTGTATAGACAAGATAAATGAATATGGAGCAAAGTAACTTTCAAAGTAGGCTTTCAAGTCTTTCTTTAAGCTGTTTCTTTATTTTTGACTTCAAACCAGAGTACTTTATTCCAAATGTAATAAAAGGCAATAATAATATGCAGTAAAACTAACCAAATATTAATGGTGAAAATGTTTCATCTAAAACATTAGTTCTCAACCAAGGCCCATATGACATTACTGGAGCCTACACAAAAACATAGCAAATTGGGTTTCTATGATAATATTTTAATGGTCCATAAAGTAATTTCACTTTGGAATGGTTGTTACAACTGAGAATTGGAATTTCTACAGTAATCTATGCCATATTAAAATACTAAAAATAGAATAACTACTATAAAAGTAACTGAAAATGAGATCTAGTGATGTAAGTTTTAGCATCCTTTTTACTCTATTGGATGCTTTGATTGTAAAAGTTGGATGAAAACTTTGAAGGGTATATAGTGTACATAAATGTTCCATAGAATTTAGTTGTTAAATACAAGCTTATTTTCATTAAATTAGCTTCACTTTAAAATAAATCATATACATTTACTCTTTCTATAATACAATTCCTAAACATATGTATTAGTAAAAAATAAAATAAACGTGTTTTGTGTTCTTTTTGTTTTTTTGTTTTTTTTTTGTTTTTCATCAAATAGTTATGGGATCCACCAAAAATAATTAAGAGTAAAGTGGTCCCTGAGTAAAAAAATGGTTAAGAACCATTGATCTAAAAAGTTAATAATAATAATAATAATAATGAATCTGGGAATGTTCAAAGAAAACCACAGAAATTGATATGAAATTGAAATAATATGCAAACAAATTTGCAGGACAATTTACTGCTGATGCAATGGTTTAAATAACAACTTAAAATGATGTACAGGACAAAACTGTATGTGTTAAAAAGCCAAAAAAGAGTAATAGTGTGTCCATACTGTGCAATGTTAATGGATCATTGTATGGGGTGGGGGTGTTTAAATGTTCTTACTGAAAATGGATTCTACCAAAAGTTTCTGATATTTGGTTAAATTTTAATAAGTAGGTTGAGCAAGAACTTTTCAGCAGCCGTTCATAAGCATTTGCTTGTGTGTTTTAGCCCTGTTGAATTTTATGACTATTTGTTGATTGTTTAGTATATTATCAATAAGTTGTCATGAAACAGATCTGAGTAAATGGAAAAATATGTTGACATTTTTATAGCATCCGGAGAAAAGATGCTATAAAAATGTCAACATCTTTTTCACTTTAGAAGGATCGGTAAACATCTTCATATTGTCCATGGGAATATAGGCAAAGAGCATTTCAACTCTTGGTTGTCTCTCCATTTCATGATTGTAGCTATCTCTTTCAAAATTGGCATTTTTTAAAAGTGCTTAAATTTTGTCCATTGGAATAAAAACAATGCTATTTTCTTATTTTCAGTATTATAATTTTAAACTAAAGGAAATCTTAAAAATAAAACTCTGCTATTGAATTGTTATTCAAAAACATTATCTTTGTTGATTTAGAAAAGTGGTTTTACTTTGAAGAAGAGAGTTGATAAAAAAAAAGTTGTTTTTATTTATTTTATTATTATGACAGCTTCGATACTTACAGACATATTTTAAGCTTTTAATGTGATATTTGTATCTGGGCATGTAACAGTGATAGTATAATTTATGCTCCATTTGATGAATTACTGAAAAAATGGGATGATTCATGTTTTTATTGAGGAATTAGAATTGTGGCTCCCTAAGGACAAGACATGAAAATCCCCACCACCACCAAAAAATAAATAGAAGCTCTTCAAAAGAGGATTTGTGATAAGTGATGAAGATAGTGGCAAAATTATGTTTTCCACAAAAACCAACAGTGGAAAGTTATGATTCATTCAAATATCAATAGATTATTTAGACCTTGCATTAAAAAAAAAAAAAATTATATAAATGACAAACAATACTTTCTTTTACTCCAAGCAAGGCAACAAAGTCACTAAGATTCAAGGGGTTATTGAGATTGAAAGAATATGAAAAAAAAATTTATTGAGAAAACAATAAAAGAACAGGAATTAAGAAGATAGTGATTGACATTGCATTTAAATTTTCGAAGATCAAAGATGACCTGTCCTGGGTATGATGATAAACTACATCTGCATCCTGGGTAAGAATATAAACTATGTCCAACAGCAAGGCCTCTGATCAGGAAGTCTTGAGGAGTGTGGAACTGCTTCTTAATTGCTGGTGTTCCCAGGGCTACTCTGACCTGTGGTGGTAGCACCTGTTGGGGTCTTAGCTATGGGTAAGTAGTTGACCCCCAGGCTGGAATCAGAACGCTATGAAAATGTAAAAATAGGTTTTAATACCAGGAATACTTTGTAAAAAAAAAAATTACCAGCAATACAGGAAAGTAAGAAGCAACAAGGCATTTATTGTAGAGTTTAGAGAGAACATGAGCCAGTAATCACCAGAACCAAACTTGTTAGAGGCTATACAGTGCCTCATTCTGTCAATGAACAATGACATAATTTGAGGACATATTTATAATTATTACATACAGACACAGTTGTCTGTCATGATCAGAATTAATCCAGCCAAAAATAGTGATTCTTGTAGGCTATAGTTTCTGAAAAGGCACTTGTGAACAAAGGAGAAGATTGTGGTTTCACCTGGTATTTTCAAGAAGGCATAAATGGATTGTTGTTAAAAAGAAATCTTAGTGGCACAATTCTCAATAATATTTTACTACAAGGGGTGTTGCAAAAAAAAATCATGAAATGAATCTCAATCAGTATGCTGACAGACAAGCAATAAATGTCCATCTCATTTAAAACTCTGGAAGCATGGTGGAGTAATGGATAGCAGCTCGGATTGAGTAATCAGAGAGCCAAGTTCAAATTCCAGTCAGGTTTATTGCATTCACTTATGTGCTAATACCCTTGGGAAAGGTATAAATCTTCCCCTCCCACAGCTATGGATAAATAGGACAGAATGGGCCCTATAGCCTTGGTTGGCTAGTCTAGAGAAGGAAAACTCTGAATTCAAACATCTGCCGCCTTAAAGGTCTTGCTTCTTTAACTTCTGAGCAGAGGGATGAGGTAACCTCAACATACCCAGTGCAAAAGGAACTGGCAAATCTATTCTGTCTTGAATGTCATCATGAACAACAACTGGGATATTGGGGGTGAGAGGTGACCTCAGTGGTGCACAATGTGTTAACTGAACATATATACACTACTTACTATATACTTACTCATTCAGACACAAGCCAGTCATAATATTGCTTAACTTTAGTTTTCAAGAAAAAATAAATATTACAAATTTCAGAAAAGCAATTGATGAGCTGATAAGAGCAAGCATCAAAAGAAATAGGGTTTTTTTTTTTGTCTAGAAAAAAAATTGGCTAATTTGTCTAGGGATTTCAGAAGCAGGTGTTCCTTCTATTTTTGTATTAATAACTTCATTTCAGGTTTGATAATACAATCTATTAAAATTACTTTTGTAGAGGAAAAAAATATTGTCATGGAAAAAGAAAAGAAAAATACTGAATATTTCTTTTTTTAATCCTAGCAGGCACATATACAATGTCAGTAATCAAATCCTCTTCCTTGGCTCCAGATTAAACTCTCAATTCTTTTATTCATAACACAAGAGTAAAGGATTCTTGATGTTTACTAAGTTTAGCTTAGTAGAACACAAGACCAAGAAAAGATCATAGTATGTCTAGGTTTACCTTACATCCTGGTTTCCTGTTCAGTTTACTTGGAAGGTCCAGAGTTTTGATTCAAAACTCATCATAGTTGTTAAATTGAGTAGCTTTATTATATATCATAATGCTACAAAACTTTTAAATTCATTAAAAAAATTGTGATGACTGTCAATAAATACACCTGATATAATACATTGCTTGTATTAGTATATATGTATATAGATGTTTGTAGACTGAGTCAAGTTTTTGTTTGAAACATGTTCTTACCAGCAAATCAACAAGCAACATATCAGTTCATTGATGCACATGCATCAAATTTCTATTGTATACTCTGCAATGGTTGTTTCTTTTCTATAAATTGTACAAAGTTAATTTTATTATAGTACATGTGTTCCTACTAATTAGTAATCTTTTACTGCTTGGTTTACTTGAATATAGTTTTAAGAGGTTTGAAAATCTCTGTCATTAATCCTACTGTTG